GCCACATTGTAGCCACAGCCGCCCTGGGGCGCACTGACAGAGGCGAGGCTTACTATTATTATTGCTGTTATCGTTAATTTTCTAATTCTGTTTCATTAAAAAGCTGGATTTTTTTTCCTGAACAAAAAAAAGAAGTTTTAGTTTTTGAATGTTATGCCTGATTTATTTCTCAGAGAAGTTCAGTGTGCCACCTTAAAACTGGGTATAAAAAGTTTGAATCAGAGAAGTTAGAAATGTTTTGTTTTTGGTAGATTTGCAACAAGGTACGCATCCATGTAGTCATTCATGTGTCCATTTTTTTACAATAGAGTGGCAAATTTATAAGAAAGATGACAAATTTGCCAGGAATGACTCGAGACCCGCAACATCCTTGGATGAGTTTTTCTTAAACATTTTATAGCCCTTCATGCCCCGCCCCTTTTTTCCTACCTTCAGTGGCTCTTGGTGCAGCCATGGTAATGAACTTGTGTTGGGCCTTATGATTTGTATGATTTGTATCTATCTATCGATATATATATATATATATATATATATATATATATATATATATATATATATATATATAATTATTATTTATTTATTAATTTTTTAACTTTAAAGTTGGGATTTATTTCATATATCCTAACTAACAGATCTATTCAGTGTATCCCAATGTACAACTGGAGCAGACAGGGAGGCCGCTTACGCACAACGTTTGAAGCCCAGTTTACTGATACTATCTCACTGGCACCGATTTCTGTGTGAATGAACAGCTGGCAGCTTTCACAGGCACATGCTGGTATGTCTTGTAAACCAGCCAAGTATGACATAAAGATCTGGTGTGATTGCAACATTCCTGTTGCATATACGCAACTGAAATATATTATACACACTCTTTTAGTGTGGTTGGTTCACGTGCTGTGCCAAAATAAATAAATAAATAATCAGTATTTACATTTTTTTTACTGTTGTGCAGACCAGCAGATGAACATTGGGCTCAACATTTGGTTCACTAGCTAGTTCCTCACTTGATCTGTCTGCTATTGTTGCTGGTTGTTGTGTATAGTTGGTTTGTGGATATTCTTCTGTGAAACAACTATTGCTGATATAATCAAGGTTGGATAGACCTGAGGTCTGTAATCTGAATATCGACTTATCCAGGTAACTTTAGGATTAACCTTGGCTTTTGTATAAAGAAGGTGGTGCACTACTTATAAGGTTACATTGCCATGGTAACATGCTGCAAAACTAACCTCTTTTTTGAACAGGTTATATTCTAGATTAGAGATCAGCAGGTATGAAATCACCATCAACTCACTAACCATGAAAATAGTATCACCACGCCTGGATGATCCCTCAGTGTCTGTTTTTGAAATATTGTCTAAAGTCTCTGTGTTTCCTCAATGAGCATAATTTTTTTTTATTGTCCTGTTTGCTGAAAACTGTTCTACAGCATTTTCATTGAGCTATAAGCATTAATACAAAACTTGTAGGCTATTTGTGGCTAGGCTAATTTGCGCATGGCCTGTTGTAAGCCTGCATTTATTGATATATTTATTCTTTGCTCTCAAACCACAGAGCGCCACAGAGGCTCCAGCTGAAGGAAGCAAAAATAAAACTGTCTTATGTACATTTAAAAATTAATTTTAATAATGGGTGATAGAGTAATGGGTGATGATAGATCAGGTTCTGAAATAGGACAAACTTTCTTATGACACTAGCTCTTTTTCAGTCTTAAGAGCTTAAAGCAAACACACATTCATACAGCACTTTTTATACTAAACTGCAGTGCTTTTCCTCTTACACACACACAAACACACACACTCTTGTAGCTACCTTGACTGCAGCTGCTGTGGTGCTTTCAGTCTGCATTATGTGCTTAACCTCTTCACCCCCGCCCCCCATGAAATAGTTTTATCTTCCTTTGTGCCGTCGCCGATACAGTTGCCTATAATTGTGACTGGTCAGACACTGCTGGCACCTCCCCATTCATGTGTGTTAACTTACAGAGTTGACAACCACCTTCAAGTGACACTTATCCTGAGTCCAGATAATGGAAAGATACCCGGAGCATGCTGAGCTCTCTTCATAGTAGAAGCCTCAGGGAATAAACCATAAGAATGAGGGTGGGGTTCTAAAAACAAACAAAATGGGGAGGATGCAAACACACTCCTAGTTGCTAAGGAAAAATAAAAGAGCACATGAATGATTCATTTAATGCAACACATCAATCTTTCAATCGATATTAATGAAAATGCATTCACTTGAACCACATGCACAATATGTTTTGAATCTATGTGAAAACACAATGACATTGGTCTATGAAAAAGGAAATAGTCACAGTTTACTAAGGGTGTGTTAATGTCACATAGTCATACAGTTAATAGCATCTCCATAGGGGTTTCACCCTCAACTATCTTGGTTTGTTTTATTTTCATCATTTTATTGTGAAATAAAAAAAATCTTCCACTTTTCCCATTTTGCATCACACACATAAACTTCCACGCAGTCCCTCCAGGGAGCTGACCAAGTCTGACCACGATCCTGCTGCCGGCTGTTTACGAGCTCCATGGGAGCAACTGGGGTTTAGGAGGCTGGCTTGATGGCACCTCAGAGAACCTTTGGGGAGAAGAAACAAATATTAACTTTCCCTGCAAAGATTTTTCCAGCTGTTCTGAGGACTTGAACTATGACCCGCTGTCAAAGTCTTGTTCGGAAAAAAAAGTTTGTCTTGGCGACTGGAGAGAGCTCATAAAGTTTTAGTGGATCAGTCAGTTATGGAACAATGACAATTTACTTTTTGCTTCCTGCTTTCTAAACACTAATGTAATTCAGTTGACCAACTGCAAAATTTACAACACATATTTGTCTAAAAGCCCAACTCTCTAGTCAAGCCTTTGGGTAGTATGAAGTGTTTATGGTTGTAGCATTCAAGTAAATGTCTCCTATGCACAGATTAGTCATTAACACCAGTTTCTCAGGCTTCAGTATTTTCACAAACCATTTCCTTGTTAACAGTTTCCTGAAAGAAAAGCCAGAGAAAGAGTCATGCTGAATCACCTGAGCTCTACATTTGTTCTTTCAGCGATTCAAACTCATTGGTCAGACTTCTGTTCTGATCAAAATCACACCAGTTGCCACCACATTTAAAATAACAGAGTATGTTTTGTCAGTGTTCATGTTTCATGGCATGTTTGAACCTGAATCACAATCATTTCCTGAACCTAATCTAAATAGTTTTACAGTGTAAACCTCACCTGAAAAACAACTGGTGCCTAAACATCCAACGAAAAGCAAGAGTAAGGGGGGGGGAAATCAGTGAATCAAAAAGTCACAACAAAGCAAAATAAAAAAGCAAACATAAAACTCATAAACAGGACACAAAGTGTAATCTCCTGGCTGACAAATACACTCTGCTGTCACCTCTCTGTCAACCCTAATGTGGATTTTATCACCTCTTTAGAGAAGACCATTTCTCTGTAACCAGTATCGCCATGAGTGGTGCATTAAGACACCAATACCAAAGAACACCTTGTGCTTATCTATAATGGCCCTGAGGGTGTAAACTATAACAACAAAAAGGAAAAACATAATAGCATTCCAGAAAACACCAAGACATAAAAACACAACATTATTCACTTTACTTGAGAATTAGTTAAAAAAAATAAAAAATTCTTGTTTTTGGCTATTTCTGTTCCTGTGCTACTCTGAGCTATGCCCTGTGAAAGGATGGAAGAGTAAAGGGAATATTTTAACAAAAGACATTAAACAAACTAATGTCTGCAGAAAAAATATTTTTAAACCTGAAAAGAATATTCCATAGCTTAAAAGAAATGTTTCCAGTTTACAGCAGATGAGATGTGGTGTGCAGCAGAGTTCGACTCTCCTTTTGGCCCGAGCCTTTCTGTGTGGGGTTTGTGTGTTCTCCCTGTGTTTGTGTGGGTTCTCTCTGAGGACTCCGGCTTCCTCCCACAGTCCAAAGACATGCTAGACACATGTCAACGTGTTAACTGGTGATTTTAAATTGGGCATAAGTGTGAATGGTTGCCTGTCTCTCTGCGTTAGTTGTACAGTACAGTGCTGTACTGTCTCCCTATAGTAGCTGGGATACGCTCCAGCCCCCCTGCAACCCTGATAAGGATAAGCTGAAGAGAATGGATGGATCCTAAAACAACATAGCATCTTAAGTGTTCACAGCACGGGGCAAACACCTTTAATCTCTGACAGATAAAGAACATCTCCACCAAAGTGTTCTATGTGACAGTCAAAGCACTGATTTTTTATTGTTGTTGACCCCCCAACTGTGACTCAAATCCTCAGCCTTGGCAGCAGTGCAGCCACCTGCATTTAACAAAGTGTGCTTTGTACATAAATCCACTGGGGTATTTAATGCAGTGTAATGAATCCATCCAAGTTATGAACATTTGTGGGGAAAAGAGGCTTGCAGACTGTAATTTCAGGCTATATGATCCAACTCAAAGCTCAATTACAGCTTGTGTCACCAGAAGAGGCCTGGAGGCGCTGGAAAAAGAAGTGTTTCAGAATCTTTCCAAAGGCTCAGGTACACATTTTCTGCATGAAGCAGACAGCTGAGGCTCTGTAATGCACTTCAGATGAAAATTTCTCATCACAGGGAGATGAATATGTGTCGCATCTTTGCAGCCCTTGAGGAGCTGCAAAGATGCAACCGGCTTGATGCAAGTTCATGATTCCCGAGCGTGTGTGTGAGAGATGGATTTTCTCCCGCTGTAAAGTTTCTGGCCAACCCTCTTATTACTCTTGTTATGATTACATTTATGTAACATTATTTACTTGAAAAACATGATAAGAGACATAATCAAATATTCCCATCTTCATACAATCCATTTCAATTCTTTGTAAGTGTTATGAGTCAGAGTTTATTCCCTTCTATCGATATATCCCAGGAAATTATTGGGAGTTTCAGTGACGTAGGCAGTGTCTACGGTCTCAGTGTTATCAAACGGAAGTACTCACCCTCCCATACACGTGCACAATCGTGAGCGCGCGCTACAGCACTTCAACTTGTTGAAGTTTCCCCCTGAACTTTACATTCCGCGCGGACCTGCCCACCGTTCAGCAGCATGCCTCTCTCCAACAAGTGGTGGATTTTGTGCGCAGTTTTGCTCTCCTGCCTGGTCCGTTTTGGGTCTTGCAGAAAAGGTAAGACGAATAAGACAAAGTTTGTATGTGTATATGCATGCGGGTTCTTTTTTAAACTGGCTTTAGTTAGTTCGCAACTTGTTTTTGTTGCTATACGACCGTGCTTTAGGAGAAAGTTCTCCTCGCGAACCTCGTGCGTAAAATACGACTACGCTCAGGGTTTATACATATTCACTTTCTTATATTTATCACTTAAGTTTTATTCCTGTTGAAATACTGCATGGATGTGTTAGGCATTAATGCGTGTTATTGTGTACAGCAGTACAGTCCTGTCCTATATTCATATATTCGTAAAGATTGCAACAAAAAACATTTTAGAAATTACGCGTAAATGTTCAAATGTACTCAATAGAAACTATTGTCATTTTTTTTTATTTACTTTTTTGCTTAAGAAGTATTACGTGTAAAAATCCAGAAAATGTTGAGACGTGACCCCATACTTTAATCAATGTCTTTACTGAGGTCCTGGCAACAACGTTTGTTTTGCTGTGTGTGACCTTTTAAAGTCGAGATGTGGCGTCTGGAGAGGCCAAAGTCCAGAACAAATGCAGTTCTCATACTGGCCACGACCCACACCTGAACCGCTTGGCACCTCCTCTCGTTCTGTCACGTCGCAACAACAGCCTTGCGAGCTGTAATGAGACCGATGGGATTGGATGTCAGATACCCAACAAGCTGTGAAAGGTCTGAGTTGTGGCAGGTCTGGTCCAAAGTGGTGAAGAAAATGTAGCCTAATATTCTGCTTTCACTTCTCCTTTCCTGAAAGCAAATACCGGTTTGGGTGAACTGTAACATTCACTGTATATCTTTAATGTCAGTGTCTGCTTTCTTCCTATCTCTCAAAGACACACAGCTCCTTTTTGCATCATTTCCAAGCATGGAAGGGACATTTTAAAGCTACAGTTAGAATTTGTAAGCCAGACACTTTGTTATGTTGACAAACTTGATATTTCCCCTGATAAATACACGTGTACATTTAATATCCAAGCATTTTCCTGGCTTCTTGTAAGATTTACATTTTAGTGAAACCCATGGAACAGTTTGAAGATGAGGGACTGCCAGCAAAGTTGATAGACCTTAATTGCAAATAGACTACGATAAAATTTTTCTTTGTAAAGATTGAATAACAACAAACTTAAAAACTGCTCTTAATGGGTGGCAACTTTCTAGTCCTTTGTCCAGAGGTGATTCAAAGGACTAGAAAGTTGCCACTTAAAATGCACATACATGGAAGAATGCATTGTTCTATTCCGTAACCAGAAACTAAGTCCTATTCCTGCAATATAGTTTATTAACTTACACTCAATGTTGGTATTATAAAAAGCCCTGTACACTCTCAAGACTGTATTCATGAGATGTGCTGTAATCTGTGAAAAATACTTTGTTATTGAGGCTGATGAATATGTAGTGGGTCTGTAGCTCGACTACAAATAATTACAAAACAAACTGAGGAAGGAGAAAATTTTGACTGACTGGACTTTATTTAGTTGGAAATGTGTTAAAGCCCAGTAATTTATTTTGTCAGCCTTCAATTTTTTAGGTCTGTGGGATATAGAGTGGAACTCGGTTGCCACTCCCTGTGGGTTTGAATGAGAAATACAGTCATGTATCATCTGCATATAAATGGAAAACAACTTTAAATTACATTGCAGAGGGGCAGATTTAGACACATTTTAAAACTCCAGAGTTGACAAAACACCAGAATCATAACCTCTGCAATGATATAATCAGAGCAAAACACCACTGATATGTTCCCGAGTGACCCAAAACATAATCTTTGCAATATAAGCTGCGAGAGAATACATTTCCCTCCAATGGTAATTGAGAAACTAATTTCACTTGTACAGAAGAATATTGTGGAAGCAAGACTTCTTATTTTTCAGATATACTTTTGACATTTTAGCGTTTACTGGACTGGATAGTAAAGAAAGTTTTCAGAAAAACGGGGAGAGAGTGTTTGGCATTGCCACAAAGGAAATGGTCTTGGGTTGGCTCAAACCAGTCACTCCAGTAGCTTTCAGCATATAGGTCACCTGCTTATCCAAGCGTCCTATATCAGTACCCATGACTTTTTTTTTTTAAGCATCTAAGAGACATTATTTTCCCTAAACCATCATTTTCTATTTATTGATGATTAACATTGTAAACATACAGGTCTTTTTAACCTTAAGGCAAAAACTTTAAAAATACTAAATGTTTTCTTAAAGCCATACAGATATTGTTATAGCAAACACGACCAGGGGCATTTTTATTTTTTAGCCACCCAGTAGTATGAGAAAGAAAATCTTCAGTAAATACAGAGAGACAATTTGTGTCTATTGCCCTATAGTGGCCTTCAATGTTTTGCTCACAGAAGAACGTTAGCTTTTACTATTTGCATATCATTTAGGTGCTCTTGAGAGGTAATGCAATAAGGGATTCACTGAGCCAGTTTGGGACTAAACATCGGTATCATTGGAGCACAGTTCTGGTCGTATCACTAATCGTCTCATGAAGGCGTAAACACTGTCTCATTAATTTGTGGAGGAATTTAATTAGAAGCTCGCTAGCTGTTTGAAGTGGCCCTTTTATTAGAGAGCCTCAGGCCATAGAAAGAAAACACTGTAGCATGTGCCATCTTAATTAGCGTCTGCAGTAAGGAGCAGACTTGAGAAAACTACGAGCCTTAGAATGTCACTAAAAACATTTTACCACAAGATCATTTCACCTATAACTGGAAAGTCTTCTCTGCACTGACTATTATTAGCTACAGACTAATGTTTCATGCTGGCAGTTTCTTTAATAAGGAATGTTAGTTTTGTCTCGACATGAAGCTCACCAAAAAGTGGCTCCACTGCAACATAACCAGCAGCCTTTCCTCAGGGTCATATAAGCATTAAAATGCAAGAGGCACGAAATCTCTCTCAGTGACGTAATTCATTGTTCTGCCTCTGTTCTCCATTTGTGGATGTACCAACTCCTAGTTTTTCAAACTTTATACTTTCGAGAGAGAATTTTTTGTTCTGTTTTTTTATGCCTAACTTTTATGTAATTTCACTTTGCCATGCAGACTTCGTTATTTCTTCTTCATAACTGACCCTTGTGGTCCCCACATACCAAATGCGTAATGGAAAAAGTAAACAAACTTACAAATTTTCTGCATCCGAACTTGCCGTGTACTGTATGTGCACACTGTATGTGTTGTATTTTTGCAGGAAATTTGGCCTCAAAAAACACACTGTGAAAAGAAAAAAGTGAAGTTGGCATCAAGACATGATTAGCTGGTCCTGTAAGAACGTGAGATTCTGGGTACATTCAGTTCTCATGAGAAAGCAGCAGCAGGAAGAATTTCATGGTTTGATCCATGTTGAAGCTGTATCACGACCACTTTTATACGTTTTCAGAATGTCAGTCAAGCAATTTGAGGTCTTGTTGGCAGATTTGGGAGCAGATCTTAGGAGGTAGAAAAATGATTTCAGAGAGCCAGTTGACCCGGAGCATGGTCTAGCTTTGTGTTTGAGGTAAAACATTATTGTTTTACTATTTCCAAATCACTGTATATTTAGTACTGGTGTGCGATTTGAGTTACGAATGTGCTTGATGCCAAATGTAGTGGTCTGATTGGTTAGATCTTTTTGTGCAGATCCAAAAAAATCAACCGTGTTTCTAAAAATTCTAAAATGCCGCAAATTCGTCCAGTGAAATTATGTGGTTGGTATGTGTGGCTGCATTAAGAAAGGTGAGTCTGAAAAATGTTTTTAATGCACAAATTATTCACACAGGTTTTAGATGTTTTTACAGATGTAACTGAAGCCAAAAAGTGAAAATCCTAAAGGGAACATTTCTTGTAGACCTGCAGGTAGTGAAGAAAGGCATTGCAAACTTTTGTTAACTTGGAAATTGCTGCAAGGCATGAATATTTAATAACATAAATGGGACTTTAAGAACATCTAAATTGCCTCCTAAAAACATGGAACTGCATCACCAACAGAAAAAAAAAAGATAGAGCTTAAAAGTTCAGATTTGGAAAGCTTAGCACTCTGAGGATGCACTGTAAAAACTTTATGGAAGGACATTTATATAGCACTTTTCCAGGCTTACTGATAACCTAAAGGCACATTCTATAATAGAGCCAAGTCTCCGTAAAGATGTGGGCACAACAGACTCTGATTTCCTGTGTCTGGGTCTTATTTCATCCATTTTATTTTCCTGTGATGTTTCCTGTAGGCTGGGCAGAGGAACAGCTTTAGGTCCAAGCTGACTTAGCTTAATTCTTATCCCTTTCTTTCTGGGTTGATCACACTGCCTGCAGGGATTTTTGGACTGCATCCTCTGCCTGGCTGGTCAGATGATAAAGAGGTCAGCGATGGGCTCAAAGTCTCTTAATCTAGTCTCTGAGGAAAATTTTCAGGTATCTAGTGCATTGACTGTATCTACGTTTTGTTGAGTTCGTAACTTTAGTGATACCTACACAACACTACAAAAGACACCCAGTACTGCTGTTTTAAAGCCTTTTCATCATTGAGAGGGAGTATTAGGCTCTTAAACTGAAAAACATTCACGATTGTACTCTGTCCTGACCTGACATGGATTTACTTTCTATAACACAATTTGAACGTCATGTAAAAGACCTTTGGATGGAGTTGAACTAGTCTAAAGACCTGAAACTTTCTCTTGAACATGCTTTGAGATATGACTGCAACCTGAGACTTCTTTCAGTTGCTCCTGTTAGGCATCACGGCGGCGGGTCATTTGCCTCCATCTCAGCTTATCCCGAGCATCCTCCTCTGTCACACCAACCCGTTACATGTCCTCCTTCACTACATCTGTTCAGTTCAAGTCAGTTTGATTGATATAGCGTCAAATACAAACAACAATCGCCTCAAGGTGGTTTTTACTATAAGGTAATGGTAGCCCTACAATACACAGAGTAACAATCATACAATCAGACAGCCCCCTATGAGCAAGAAGAGTTGGGAAGAGTTAATCTCTCCTTTAGTATTCTTAGCCCCTAGATTTAA